GTGCCTTAACTCTCCCTGCCTTCCTAGATCCGACCAGTGTTTTGGTTTCATTCACATATGCTTATGAATCTTTGTTCTCAGTGATGAATTTTGTTAAGTCTCATAAGAGGAGTAGCCTGATGGATGAAAGTAGTAGCTCGTGCATATCTCTGAAGGTCACGAAATATAAACCTGATATAAAATCTCTGTCATCAGTGATGCAGCAGCAAAAGTCCCACTGATAATATCAAACAGGGTCATAAAGTTTTCTGTCGGACTAGCAGTGTACATGTATACATTAAAAAGTAAATGTATTTTTCATCATCATATACTGTGTTTTTGTCGCTCGAATGAATTTTATTATTTCTTCACGGTTCTTCGCATACATACACCATAAGAGATGTCAAATAGGCCGAAACCGGTTTGGCTCAGTGGATAGAGCGTCGGCCTGCGGACTGAGGGGTCCCAGGTTCGATTCCGGTCAAGGGCATGTACCTGGGTTGCGGGCACATCCCCAGCGGGGGGGGTGCAGGGGGCAGCTGATCAATGTTTCTCTCTCATCGATGTTTCTGACTCTCTCCCTTCCTCTCTGTAAAAAATCAATAAAGATATATATTTTTTAAAAAAGATGTCAAATATGCGTAAGAGATATCAAGTAGGCATAACATGTTCTCAAAAAATTAGGGTTGGCACGCAGAAGAATTTTGAGTGAGATTTTGCTGGTTTTAGCATGCACTCACAAAAAGGTTGCCCACCCCTGCTCCAGTGCAGCAGTTCTCAACCTGTGGTTTGTGACCCTTTTGGGGGTTGAAACACCCTTTCACAGGGGTCGCCTAAGACCATCGGAAAACACGTATTTTCGATGATCTTAGAAACTGAGACACTGTTCCTCTATCCGTCTCCAGGCGGGTCCACCCACATGCAGATATGCCGACATTCAGATATGCCCACATACAAGTACCTGGAGTGATGACATCATCGTGCCAACCCCATCACATACACCCCGTACAAATACAGCTGTATGTGACAGGGTTGGCGCCATAATGTACTTACATGGACCGGTCACACGGTGTAGAGAGCAGCTGCTGTGTTGAAAGCAGCAGTATTGGAGGTAAAACAACACTTCAGGAATTGTAATTACTGGTTAATGTAAAATCATGTACTGTAAAATCAAGTACTGCAAAAAAAATATCTATCTTGGGAACAATCTGGATGCTGATTGGTCTTTTTACATTCAGCTGTGGTTGCTATGAATACTGCCCCCTTGTGATAGTAACAGGTATGTAAAAAAAAAACACAATGGTAAATCATAGGAAACTTTAATGAACTGTATTGACTGAACTAGGCCATATATCAATTTTTGTATTATTAAAGCTATTGTTATATATTATTTTCATTAGCAAACCATCCTATGACAATGGATCATGTAGAGAAGAACGTTAAGAAAAGAAAATATAGTGAGGATTTTTTACAGTATGGTTTTACCAC